GGGGGTTATAAAACTTCAATTATATACAAATATTAAGCCATACTCTTTTACAAAATTCGTTAAAAAAATTGAGGGGGGGTAGGAGTTTGAACACCCAAAACCCCTCTTAGCCCTGCCTCTGTTTGTACATAACGACTATCGAKTGTATGTTTGTTAATTTTTTTAGTCATGTGAAAGCATCGATCGAGTGGATGTCRTCCTCAAACCCGAAGACATTTTAGAATCGTACGCAGATCTAAATTGGCCAGTTGCATACCAAAGCGATGTTAAAACCACTGTCACTGCTGAAGATGTAGCGCAAGTATAGATAATATAATTTAAGTTTGCAACAAAGTCCTATATTAAGCTATCGTATTTTTTTGTTTATTAAGGTWTTTTTAGCCGGGGACCTCTTACCTTGCGATTATGAATCCAACTTAAAAATCGATCCCCTTCAAGTAATCGAAATGAAGATTGGATGGTTTATGCATTGGTTAGTATATATTAGAGTAAATTATTTAGTATACCTACCTGAGCTAACCAAATGCACATTACGTTACATACCTACATGCCCACAGCTTGATCAAAAATGTTGGCGGAGCAAACCAAAGTTTGGGAGGGGGGGGCAATAAAATGCCTGCCTACTTAACCAAAAATTACCTCTACATACATTTAATATTTGTTGAAGCGTTAACGATTTGGTTTAGGAAGGGGGGCAATGCCCTTTTTTACCTCCGCAGTACCTAAGTGCCTGCTTGTGGAGTTGTACTATAATCAGTAATTATACATAATACCAGCAATTCACAAAGTTTGAATATTGTAACAAAAAAAAAGTGGGTTAAAAATAAGGACAAAATAACGATTTGGCCACATATACAGACATACAGTTAGGTATTGACTTCCAAATAATTTTAGGTACCTATATATTATGCTCTCCCTGATTTTAGATTTTATGTGAAGCGACGAATATAATATATTGATTTTATGATAATCTGTACTTTTTTTATGTATGTAATATATACCTATCTGTGTGATAAATTGTTGAAATAATGATTCGATTTTGAACATCTCTACATTTCTAATAGAAAAGTTCATTAATTTAATTAGAAATTAAGTTAATATTGAAAATTCCCATCCTCCAGTAATTTTAAAATCATTTTGAAAAACTAAAAACCGGTATTCCAGTTTTCAACTAAATCGATCTTATTAGTTTTTGAAGTAACTCTATAGAAAAAAAAACTGTAAATACGTTCATTTTCACTAAATAATTTTATAAGCATTTTCCATACCTACATGATAAAATTTTCAAAATATTTTGACTTTTTTTGAGTTATTGTACACATATTATAAGAAATGATCGATTATTTAAATTGTTGTTGATCAATAATTTCTCGCTTATTCAAAAAAAATACTTAAAAATGTAATACGGGGTCTCTCATAATTTTTAGTTCTTAAAAAAAATTTGAGCATCATTCGCTGTTATTTTTTCAAGTTTCAATAAAATAACGAAAAATTACAAATTATTTTGATTTAGCAAAAATGAATTCAACTTATTACTTTATCTAGGCTTGCTCATATGCCAACCAGACCAGTGTTTCTCAACCTTTTTGATATCRCGGAATAACAAACAATAATATTTTTTTCATACGGAAGAACACCTTTGAAAATTATCMGACTTTAGAGTACCGGCGGCCGGCAGTCTCTCTCTCGCGATTTCAAACTTTCGCGGAACCCTTAGAGTTCCGTTGAATACAAGTAAAGAAACACTGAAACAGACAATTAGGTTTCAACTGTTTGCAGGAGTATCTTATCTAGTTTATTATAGAAGTCTGTGGAAAGAGAATAATTTTCTACAAGGCGCATCATTGGACTTCAATTATTTATTCCGTTGCTTAAAACAAACGTAGTAAAAATAACGAAACCTTGTGAAATTGGTCATATTCAAAATCGTATTATATGGTTTAGAAATAGAATTTTGATCATCCAAGTCCATTATGCCCTTTAAAAAGTCTTCCCCTTTCTAAAAAAAAAAATATCAAAATCTGATCTCACTTAGCGTACTTTTTAAACCCGGAATCCAGCTTACCAACTTCCGTGTGCAGTAGGTACACCGTCAGTCCCTACCCATAATAATCTGCTAGGATCTAACTCACATGTGTGCCAAACGATTTTACTCCTCGAGTGTTTTTCCTGTTATATCGTTTTCTAGGCGAAATTGTGATGACATCCAAGGAAAACTAATGCGTGCTTTGTACAAACCAGATTCGTTTTTAAGCATTTCTTCCGAAACCTGGACAATTATGTCGACCAATTACAACACTGTTAACTATAAAAAAGTATATGAAATTCAACAATTGAAACGCCAACACATTCTTCAAATAAAATAAATTTATAAATTCAATTTAGATCAATACGTACTACGATGGAAGAGTGGTGGTATCACAGATAAGTGGAACGTTTAAGTACCGTTTGGTGCCCAGAAATCCTTGCACAAAAATATGCAATCCTTTGGATGGACGTTTAGAAACTTATAATACTCGTAAGTACAGCAACTTATTCCTATAAATGTTGGTGGTGCCTATGATTACAGAGCTGAATTTARGAATTTTGAGCTCCCTGCAGGTGATTAAATTTAGCTATCTTGTCGTATGTGATCTACCGTAGATATTGCGATATGCTACAGTGGTTACTGGACGCTTGTTGTATTTTTGTATTTTTTAATAATATATTTTTTTTAAATTTAAAATGTAAAACTATAACTTTATTTTTCGTTGTTTATACGCCACTCGATTACAATATTATGGTATTTGATGCACACTCAAAGTATAAAGAGATTGTGGAGGACTCTGATAATAGAAATTTAAAAAAAATATGAATAGTGATACTGTCGAAAATATGCATCCAAAATTCAATATTGTATGATAAATTATGATAATCGAATTTTTATATTTATAAATATACTAATGAATAACATATTTTAATGAAATGCGGTGGAATGAAATCCATAGATCCAAATAATAACCAATTTTACCTGTATCATTCACTTCGAATATTATTTAAATGTTATTGCTATAGAGTGACAAACGCATGCAGTAGAGCAATCGCATACTGTAGTCACAACTCATTATGTTAGAAAAATTCAAGGTACCAATTTTTAAAATGTTTTATATCATATTATATTACCCCTACTACAGTTATGGTAGATTTTTTTACCAGAAGTCCATAAAAAATTAGTTATTAATAAATCTCTTAAACAACCGAATGTATGAAATAAATATTGGAGAGCTGCTTGGTCTTACCTATCATATTATATTGTTTCTGGTAATAATACTAAGAATTCGATAAAAATGTTTAAAACATAAGGGATTTAATCTTTAATATCTAACAAAATTAATGAGTAAATACTATTTTAGGAATAGTGATAATAAAAAAATCTCTACCATTGTATTAAATTATTTTTATTTTTTTAATTTGGTAACAATATCGGTGGGTTTGGATAAAACAACATTAATATTAAAAATATTAAACTATAATGTAGGTATAAAAATTAATGTTAATTATTTAGTGCACAATTTTTCAGATTAATGCCCTTTTTACAAACAGAATTGAATTTTTTGTTAATTTTATCTGGGATATTTTTTCCTTCCCCAGAGTGCCACCATATTATTGTAATGTATATGTATACTAGCTAATTAGTGATAAATTCTTTTATTATTTTGTTGTGCAGTGGTTTTCAACAATTTCATTTGGGATTTTCAGTATCTGCCATTGAATAATTCCACCAACAGCATAGCTATTATTTATTATTTAGATTAAAAGTCAAATAGGTACACCGCATATATGAGGTTAAAAAACTTAACATATTCTCTTTTTTTTATATATTACGCTTGCATATAAAATACATACCTAACGATTATTTTATTATCATTACGCGTAGGTGTTATATTATTAATAAATACAAGTTGTTTACGAAAAATTATATTAATTCATAACTGATTTACATTAAACGATTATAATAATATTTTGTAAAGTAGGTACGTATTTATTCTATACACGTATTTACCGTGATACGCCTCGACACTTTTCATTCCGGTGAAGCCCGAAAGCGCAAATCGTCCTTTTTTCGATAACTCAAAAGCGTAAAATAAATTAGCGTTTTTGTACCTTGAATCTTGATAGTGGGATAAAAACACAAAAATAAATTGTAAATCGAAAGTCATCTTCAACACACAAACTTGGACCTTGTATAAAGAACAAAAAATTCCAAATTGGAATACTTGATGACAGTTGGCTTCAAATTTCAAATTTAAGTTTAAGGTATATATACTCATTATCATATTATTAATTTAATATAGTTATTTATTTATTCTTGATATTTATTTAACTAATTTAAAAAAAAATACTCACAATTTTATAATATTTATTTTTTTCTGATTTTTTAAACTAATTTCAATATCACTGTAAATGCTTATTTAGATATTAATAATAACTACAATTTTAATAAAATATGCATTTTTATGAAATTGATTTGTGTTTATGAGTTATTACTTATTAAAAAGGTTTTTTTTTACACTTATGGATTACTTATTTTTAAGTTTTTGGGTGACGTTTGGGTCATATATTGCGCTTATGAGCTGCAGCTTTTTCATACTGCACATTTACAATACGATATAGTCATATGATCTGTATAATATAAGGGATACTCGTTATAGTACTCATAAATATGTTAATATATATAAATATACAGCTGGTACCTGCAAGTTTCGTCTGTATAACTTCGCCAAATGTGATGTGGTCTAGTGCCAGTCATTGGTTTGAAATGAAAATCCAGTCTTTTCGGTGAACATATAAGACGAAGCAGACTTTATTATATAAGCATATAACAACCACGGCCCAGGTGGCAACATTGGCCACCATCGTGGCGGGAACTATACCTAATTCTGACATCTAAACATCACGTGCAGTCGGGGATCTATTGACTCATCATACGACAACGCTTCAGACGGACTGTCAACCGAATTATAGCCAAGCGGTGACGGTACCACGATCGAGTCGTAAAAATCCATGAATAGTCGTGCTACAGAGCATAGGCGTGTCCACGGGGGGTGCAGGGTATGCACCTGCACCCTCTGCGATTTAAAGTGACACCATGAATTAAGAAAAATTGTTCAAAAAAGAGGACTAGGGCCCATTAGTCCCTTGGGTTCGCACCAGGTTGCACCCTCTGCGTCAAAGTTCTAGACACGCCTATGCTACAGAGGTATACCACACCAAAACGGTTCCTCGCTCTGTGCAGTATCCTGATTACCTGTGGTAATAACTTACCTCTGTTTAACGCGGTGCACATAAAAGTGTCCGCATGGTTAACCTACAGGTGGTGCTCCACGCAATGGATATCCGCGGGTTCACCATAATTATGTACCCGGTATACAATAATGATGTGCACGATATATCGTCGCTTCTATTGCGGGAACCGACCAGAACCGTTCGGTGGAGAGACGTTTTTCACGAATCGCCAACCGAACTAACGTCAAGCGTTAAAAGACTTGCTTTTTATTCATTTGTTTTTTTCCTAAACTCATATAATATATGTATTATTATTTTTAATGTACATAAAAACTAAATAATAATAACCTAAACAGTTAAATGATTTTATAGTTGCCATAAAAAAAATGTAATTTTTAGCATTGCTTGACACATTAATATGATACAATTTTTTCGTTTCGTGAATTTTTTTTTTTTTTGGGGGAGGGGAGAGATGCATCGCTCCCGTGGTCAACCTTGCATCCACATCTGCATGTATATTTAATTTCTATAGATAGGCGTAGGTACGTATACGAGTTAAATTAACGTAGATTTTATTTCTAAGGATTTATAATTCCGAATTTTGTCTTATAAACGAGAATATGTGTAAATGGGACGACTTATACGACTTGTTACTCGAATCGTGATGAGAATAATATTTGGCATTGCCGTGAGAATAAATATCTACCCAGTACCCATTATATATGGTGTCACATGTTATTATTATTTCACGTATGTTCCATACGTACACGAATCGTCTTCCTTATGTTATATATTATTATTTATCTTACGGTATCTATCTTATATTTGAACGCACGGTTAGGTGCAGTTATATGGTATATTATACCTATTTTGCTTTAGGAATGGTAATTTATCAGTTGTATACTGTTGATTGTGTTTGAACGTGAAAAGAACGAATTCGGTCACGATTAAAAGTAGATAGTAGAAGTAGGTAATTCAAATGTGCTTAATATAACATAGTTTATCCGTTATTTGTAGTGATATTATACTTAATCTAAAACAATAACGATACATTCAAATTATATTCATATTTACAGTATATACCCACTCGGTTTAGGTTTAAGTATTTCATTTATATTTTAACTGGTACACTTGTGTAAAATACTAAAATATTGTAACTATTCGTATTGTGTAGACTGTCGACTGTGTTAAGTCAGAGTAGATGGTATGAGAAAATAATAGGCATTTTTGTTTTGATTTACCTATGTTTCTAATTTCGAGCACAAAAAAAAATGATACCATATATGTACTATGTATATGTATTTTTTTAGACGATATATTAATTGTTTACCATATGCATGTCTATATTGTGTTTTTATTTACTCAGACGTAGGTACTTTTACATTTCTATTTTGTAAAATAATTTTTTAGATTCTGAACGAAGTGATGAATGTATTGATTTTACAATGATGTGTTTTT